TACAATTTTTTTTTAAACTCATCAGCTCGTACTATTTCCCAAAAACTTGGAACCTCTCCTTCAGTTTGAGACAACTGAACACCCCCTCCAATCTGTTACATCATATTCCCTGTTTTCACTGAATTTCCACATATATAAATGAATAAATACTCTCTGCTTCAGTGATTGTTTTGGTAAATGTATGATATTGACTTCTCCGTAGCTGGTCTCCCACCCTGACATCACATTCTATCACACTCCACATAATTCAACCTGAACTCAGTGTACGCTTTGGGAACAGAATCATACCTCACCCCAGTTTACTGTTCTATAGTTTGAACACTGGGTTAGTTTTTAGCCTCAGACATTTTAACACTTACCCAATTGCAAATTATGCTGCTTTTTGGACTGCTTTTAGGATTCATGTTTGTGCTCAAACTGATTTGCCTAAGCATAAAAAATATTTTCATAAAACAGTGCAATCAAGGATTTTAGAATGTAATTGTTTATTTTTCCCTTGTACTAAAACATTTAGTAATATCTTTAAGAGTGGTAATCTGATGTAGTTTCATTAGTACAATTGAGTATGGGTTTATCACAAAAGAGTAACTGGATTTTAAATATTTGAAAATGTCTTTTAAAAATTAAACAACCATTTACTAGTTTCATTAGTGTACAATAGTCGGTTTCATACAAGCTTTTTTTAATATTTGAAAACCAAACAACTCAAAGTGAAGAGCCACCTTGATGGCCTGAAAACGAGTGCAACTTCATGATTAATTTGATCAGACGGTATGGTCAGTTTTGTAGGCCGGGTCAACTTTTAGCCTGATATTTCTGAAATCTTAAAGCATCTCAAACTGTATTTCTATTCGACATAATATATGCTCAAAATTGTTGAATCTTTCACAATTTGACGAATTACAGGAAAGTTACAATAACAAAACCAGCTCAATCTAGTCTCAACAAACTATATTTTCTTCCATCTTGCTTCCCTATTTCATCATATCAGTCAGTACTAAGCTGTGTGGAAAATAGCAGATCGTCACCATGCTTGTAAATCAATGATCAAAACAGGTAGGTTGGGATCCCTATATTAATTAGGATGTCCTGCATTACAGTTGCTGGCCAGACAACATGGACTTCACTCTGCCATTGGTAAAGTAGCACATGATGAGTGCCTTACATTACTGTCAACTGGCTACTTAGGGCCCTAATAGGCCAAAGGGTGGCAAGGCCACTCAAGGCTTTCCCGAACCCCTGTAAAATTTCAGACGTGTCAGGGTGTAAAGCAAAGTCACCCACTGTCTTTTATATACCCATCACCTTCACACCAAGTGGCAAGCGAGGATAAAATCCAGTTAGCAATAAGAGTTGTCCATACAAAGAATACTGACATTTTCTTTGAATTTGAAACATTTTCTGTGGTAGTTTGAGTCCTTGTGCATTTACCTTCGCAACCTTTATCCTGGTGTACATCTTCACCATGCCTTCTCTGTATTTTTTATAAATTTATTATTGGGATGACAGCATAGCAAACAAAGCCAGTATGTACCACACATCCCTAATTAAGTTGTGGTTCCCGCAATCCGTCAATAAGAATCTTTCACAAAAGCTCCCTTTCCTGAACAGTTTGCACGTTATTCAACCCAGGAGCATCCTTTCTGTGGCTGGAATGTTATTTCTTCCATTCTCCTGCTTAATTCCACAAGGCCATTAAAGTACTAACCTCTGTTTTCAATCCTAACAAAGGATTGCACATGAAACTAAAGTAGTTTTCTCCCAGTAGATATTACATATTTTCACAATTTTCATTGCATTTTTTAGGCTAATCTTGAATCATCAAGCTGTCCACAAAATGTCTTTTTGTTATTCAAGATGACGACATATTTGATGCATACCTGTAAGATGCACTTTTCCCCTCCAGCATGTCGTATTCATTGGTTCATAGTTAATTAAAAATAAATTAAAGCAAATAAGTGAACTAAAATAATGCTGATTTTTTGGTAATAATTTTAAACATAAACAAGTATTCCATTAATATTGCCAGAACTCAATTTTGTAGGGCATTAATTGAAATGAGAATCAAATCATTTTAATGTGATATACCAACTGTGTATTGATATGGGAAATCACAAATTCAACACAGCTGGCAGATTAAAATTGCAAGTTCTTATTCGATGGCGAAACATGTGAAAAAATGGATTAAAGATCCAAGATATCAAAATCAAATCATTCAACATTAGCATTGAGTTTAGTACAAGTATAGCACCAGCTTAGACAAGCAGAAAGAGTCACCAATAATAAGGCTGTACAAAAAGAATTTACAGTTTACTGCATACAATCTACAAACTGATCATTTATGAAGTTTACATAATTAATATTAAATCACACCAAATCTGAATGAAAATCAGTGATAAGAAAATGTGAATGTGCAACACAACTAACTATTATTTAAAGTGAGCCTTTTATCTTACATACCCAATATTTATGTCATGTTTACCCTGAGGCCTTTGGAAAAAAGGTTAAGAGATTATTATTAAAAGATTGAGAGAGAAGGAAATAATTTATTTTGTCAACTAAAAAATATTTCCATCTTTTTAAAGAAAGCTCCAGCCTTTAATACAACTGATTTAATACACAGAACATATCTGGCTGTATACTTCAATTTGATTATTCTATCTCAAAGGTAAAATTTCCAGCCGGATGTTTTATCTTACCTGAGTACAGCCATTAATTTTGTCAGAAACATTGATAGCCTTATGTCACCAGATGAGGCCAGGTTACTTGATCCTGGCTATAAAATAAGCAGCTAGAGATTTGGCCTGCTGCGTATGTTTGTGTATTTTGCATATAAAGTACACACCTTTGCTTCAAAAGGCTTGCATTTAGTTACAAATGTCTCAAAACACCTTGAATAAGATTAATAACTTTCAATAATGCAGCAAGGTGTTAATGAACATAAATGTTGCAAACAACAAGATTCCATGAACAGCCATAAGATGACAAACCTTTCATGGCAGTGTTGATTGAGGAAGGAATGACTGCACATACTTAAAGAACTCCATTCTCTTATCTGAAAAGTGTCATGGGATCTTTAACATCTTTCTCAAGAGGCAGTTCTCCAGTTACTAGCTGACTCAAAAGATGGATTTTCAGGAACATGTATTTCCTGTTTCTGAAAACACTGCATAGCAAAATGCAAGAACTAAAATGTTGAATTTGCATTAAAAGTAAAGTCACTATAGTCCTACCAGACCATACAGCTGTCCTCCCATGGAGGGAGGGATAGAGACTGGTTGTGGTTTAACTCAAGGGTCACCATGACTTGAGAACGACAGTCCTTCATGGTAACCTCAATCAATGAGGGAACTGAACCCACACTGGCCTGAAAATATAAATATGGAACAATATACAACAGACTTCAGTGTATTAAATATAAGTGGTTCGAGAGCTTGGAGTTTCTTTAACAAGTTCTAAAATTAAAAATAAAATCACTATTCAATATTTTCCAAGGAAAAAAGTATTTGTTATAATTTTACACAGAAGCGGTCTTCCCATGGTATAAAGAATTTGCCTTGGTGAATTTGTGTCACATTCATGTTGGCAAATACTTGTTTTCAGTTCTGTGTGCAAAAAATGTACAATTTTATGTACAAAAACTAAGTACAGAAAATATGTGTACGTGGTGCCAAGTATATTATATTTTGACACTAACAGTAATGGTACAGTTGATCTGGGTTTTTAAAATTAAAATGCATAGTTTCTCAGTCAACATTTACAAACAATAATCTTCAGGAACTGAAGCAACACAGTAAGATTATATGTTCCAGTCAGCAACTGCGTAGATGTTAGTGCACACAACCCTTTTGGATTCAGGCTGCATGATTTTTATTTTCTTTAATTTCCACACCAAATTGAAAATTTTACTTTCTGTTTACTGTTTTTGACCAGTACCAACTCAAATTTAATAGCATTCATTATAAAGATTGTGGCATGTTAACTTTTTTCTGCGGCGATTTGAACCACAGTTAATTCACACCCATTACACACAATCACCCCTTTATAGCTCACTTTTCTTTCCACAGTGTTAGTCTTCTCTCTCAAATTATTTTTCTCTTTACTTTTAGACTTAATTTTCCATAATTATCATCTACTCTTGACACTTACTGGGAACATAATGAAACCAGATCATAATTTAAGAACAGTTTTTCCATTTTTCACTCAACAAAATTTAAACAGACCAGTTGGCCCCTTTGATCCCAAATATATATGCAAATCATTTTTGCAAATAAAAAAATCGTCTCCCCTCAACTCTTATCAAAACAGGTGCATAAGCAAATCATTAATCCTTTCAAGAATGAATGCAATTCTTACAAATAAAAAAAAATGGTTTGAATTGAGCTGCAATTATACAAATAGGAAAATAGATAGTTGTTGCAGTGTATATATTATTTGTATAAAGTGTTTTAAAAAAGCTTAATTTTCACCTTGCATTAAGTTGCATCAGTTGAATGTGATGCACTATATAAAAGTCCCTCCCAATTTGTCCTTTTGGAAATGACTCAATATCACTTATATTAGCTTGGGTTCTTGTTAATTTTTTTCTTCTTATTTGGTACAAAAAATTCAGTGTTGCAGAAGTGAAGACGTTCACTCTACATTCTGAATCACAAGTAATCCTGACATCAATACCGAACAGGTCAAACAACCTGTATTTCAAAAACCACAACTTCTAAATCTGAGGTAAATTCCAGGGGCTAATGAGGATTAGCACAAATCAATTGATTTAGAATCCTTCTGTGGGGAAATTCTCATTTCCTTTCTACATTTTAGATTTATGGTCAAGTCTACAGATGTGATGATTCAATCAGTTCATTCTATAGTCACAAATTCTCCCTTCCCAATATAAATAAATCAGCTACTTTATGCTGCCACTATAAACTACAGATATTTATTACACACAGCAGTCTATACACTGGAAATAAATCCATTATGCTAAATAAATAATTGATAGGAAACAAGTGTGGAACTAAAATTTACTATGTTTAAAGGTTTGCAAAAATTACTTTTCCAAAGCACAGCTTGCAATTAATTTTGTCTCATGGATAATTAACATAACTGCAGTGTTACAAACTGTCAGACTTGCTGATCACAATATACAATATAAACTTTGTCTATGTATTAGACACAACTGCCTTAAAACAACAGAATGCTATTTTCCACTGAAATCAGTGGTGGGCAAATCCTCACAGGTCCCAATTCTTGGTGGTATGATGCTCCTAAATGTTGCTTAGTCTCAAATATTTCACAATTGTCACATTCCACACAGAAGAGGTTCAATTCAATCAGTTATTTTGGTGCACGCCAATTTAAATTAAAGCATTTATCAACATCAAATATAAAATTACAGGTGAAGACAATATCCTAATGCGTAATAAACAAGTTTTCATCATAGAATAAAATCACAATACACTAATTTGTTTGATCTAATTCATACAATTAAATATTTAAGTCACAACCACTTTAAATATGTCCTGTCATTGCTCTTCAAAGAATAAAACTGCTTTAATAAACTCTGAAGGAACTGGAAGGTTTTTCCAAATGATAATCCAGCATCACTCAATTTGAATTTCAGAATAATTGTCCCATACACACTGCAGTAACCATAATATTTTAAATGCATTTTGTCGTCACATATCTTTGGTAGTAATGGTTACTAAAATCTAAAGTTGAGGATGATGGATTGAAGCCCATCTTTGGAGCAGAAAATCCTACCTTACCATCTCTGGCCTGAATTATTGTGACATGAGCTTCAACAATTACTAGAAATTTACTTCTCAAAATTATCTGTTTTTAAACTTAGCCCATACAAATGTGCACCAAAACATGGTGAAAAATAAGAAACTCTGTGTACTAATATATCATGCTAACTCATTAAGTAATTCAGCTTTTTTAAGGAAAAGAAAGTAGATTAAAGACTGGTAATTCACTTCTGTACCAATAACAGTGCACTATGGAGTTCAAAAAGCAACTTTAAATTTACTGATTGGTGCGATTATTAATAGGTGCTTATTAACAGGATCACAATAATATTCTAGTAATAGATCCAATATATTTTAAGAGAAAAAAAATCAAGAAATAACAGGAAGTTATTGGGTGGAAACCTAACAGTGTTAAGAATATTAAAATGTCCTCAGAATCAAGTAAAACCACCATGATTACACGGCAAGGGAGACAAACTGTTAGGGATGATTGGAGACTGCACTACTTAAAAATGTTAAGCTGTAAAAGGAACGGTTCAAAATAGCATTTTACAAAGACCCAACCACAAAGGGGTCTCAGATTTACATTGCAGTTTTTGTACTTAGATTTATTAAATCCAAGCTAAAAATTCACTGCAACATCCACAATTCTCAATGTACTTTGTTTACAAACATGGAAAAGTGCATCAGTACCACCCTGTAATAGTACAAATACCAGACTGCATAAAGGATTACTGAATTCAATTCCAAAATTATCTTTTGTCATGTTAATTTTTCACAAGACTGCTGCCAGTATTAAAAGGTAAATATATTCTGAAGAATTCCAACAGGAATAAGGTGACACATGAATATACTTAAGCCTGTTAACCGTTATTTGGAATTAGAATTGTAGACAGATAGACAGGAAGCAGAAAAGTGTGTGTTAAACTTTTCCTATAAAATCATGATGGTGTTAATGTAAGGGCTAATACAAATAGACCAAATATCAGAAACACCAGTGGAAACAGAGAATTAATAGTTGAAGGAGTATAAAGAAAAGTCAGACGAATGGGACTAAAATATACTTCTTTCAAAGAAAAAATTCAACAAGTCCAGATCGAACTTGCGACCTTAATCCGTATGGTGAAATCCACACAGATTCCCATTACACCAAATACATTGCACCAGCCCTCCTATCTGTAGGCAGAATTTAATGTTAAAGATCTCATTCACATCATTGCCCCAAAGTGTCTCTAATAAATTCAAAAGCACAGTACAGAGCAACTAGCACCTTTCACAGCCTAATGAGGAAATATTGCATCTGATATAGCCCTGAGTTTAGTTGTATTAATCAGGGGACTCCGAAGCTGGATTTATGCTGAATTACTTGATCTCAGCCAGGACAACCATGGAAGATACAATTGGCCATCACTCCTGTTTCTGATCACTTCCAACATCACCAACTGAAAAGGACATATGTGGATGCCTGGTGAGAGCAATATCAGGCTCAGCTTTGAGGCTCCTCAAAAATCTTTAGATGCAACTGGAGACTGTGGAACAACATACCAGTATCTACAAATTAGGACAGAAAAAAATCTACATGGAAAAAGATGAAGAGGAAACACTGACAAAACAATTCAGTCAAGTGGATGTTCTCTGAAAACTAGCTGAGGGGATGGATTGAAAAAATCCACTTTACCAGAGATATTATTCTCATTAGATGTGTGCCATTGTTTCCACTTCAACCGGTGCTCTCTTTTCCATAAGTCTGCTGATTTTGGACTCATGATTTCAGTTTCAGGGGTCTTAGACAATCATTATAAAACAGTTTTCACTTTTCTATATAGGAAGCTCAGTTCTCTGAAATCAATCTCAAATCCAGAAGTAATATCTTATTTTGAGATGATGACACCATGGGCATCATTGTCAAAATCAGGAAATAAATTATTAATACATCTGTAGCTCAACAGTTCCAAAAATTAATAAAAGCAAGTATGTTTTTCTTTATTATGCTGACCTCTTGCACCACAACACTGTCATTTGCTACGGAGGAGTGAAAATCATGGATAGTTGCTTTAATTGTGCTGTGTTTGTTCAAAGGAGGAAAAAGAATCAAGAAAATTTCTAGTTTTTAAGGCGGCGTTATTTTTGAAGCTTTAACTGTGTCCATCCTTCAAAATGCTTAGATTGATGTGACATCCCAAAATTCTGAGAGCTGAACTCTAGTTAACTGGATCATGATTGCTGAACAGTAAGATCGTAACAAATCATTTAGGTATAATTCAAGAAGTTGTCAAGTTACTTGATACTCATCTAGCAACATACTGTATTAAACTTTTTTAATTTGAAGTGGGTCACAAACAAAAACTGCTCTATTTAGATTCAAATAATTTTATTTTCCATCTCCAGCAATTCCACTTTTCACATTTGGATCTGCAGCATTACTGACCCTGTTTATGTAACTAAGGATGGAGAGGGAAAGAAAACATTAATATGCCTTGTTTTAAAACATAATTGCAAATTAAAGGCAGGCAAACATTAACGTAATGTTAGCAGCCTATTATTTGTCCGAGTTAAAAAGACAGACTCAACCATACAGGTAAACTGAAGGTCCAAAGTTGTAAAGTTATCTCTTTTTACCGAAACAATTGTTATGCAATGATATTTTTATAATGTAGTGTGTAAATCAAGTCAGAATCAAGAATGCCAGAGGAGGAACATGTAACTAAGTTAAAGAGATCAAGGAGGGTGAAAGACTATTTTCATACTTCACCCCCAGTTAAGACCAACAATATTGCTTTTCCTCTCCTTTAAAAAGGGAGAAAGTAGTATTCATTACTTTCTGATAAATCAGAATTCAGTTACATCGGTTACTAGTTATTCAGTAAGAACTCAACTTAATGTGTTCCATAACAACTAAATGATCATTTAAAAACATAGATATCCTACTGCTATCATTCAGTTCTCAGATATTATTTATGGCCTGGTCTTCATTAAGGATGGCACATCATGACTTATTTGAACTCTAAAACCAGAAGTTATTCAAGTAATTAATTTGCAGCTTCTCTCTCCTTGAACTGCAGTAAGATTTTATGTTGGCATTATTCAATTTAAAAGAACACAACTTTAAAACTTAAAAGTCTTTAGCACCTACATAAGCATTCTGTGTGTTTCCTCATCTGAAAAGGCTGAAACTTGAAAATGCATAGAAAAACAAATACCTCAAGTTGAATTTCAGACCCAATCCTTTAAGGGGTTTCAACCACATTTTTCCATCACAAAATGACGATCAGAGCCAAACTGCAAGAGTGCATGCCGTTTAGCTGAATTATCATATGAAGGATATTATTGCCAAGAAAGTAGACATACAAGCAAAGATCCTGAGTGAAAGAAATTAGGCTACAGGAAAAAGCTAAGGAAGCCAATATAATTTTCTTTGGCTAAAAGGAGAGTTTAAGTGATCCAAGCAGATTTTTCAAGATTAAAAACTGAATCCCCAAGCTGGTTCAAATACTTCACTGTGATAAAGGAATATGAAAGACAAATACAAATAAAAGTAGTCAGAAGAAACAACATGCAGACCTGATTCACCCAGAGGGCTACATTAATCATGGAGCAAAAATCAGGAAAGACTATGTGGGGCAGGCAGTATAGAGAGGTTCAATAAACAATGGCCTTCTCCTACTACTAGAAATCCTGTACTCTCAAACTCAATTTTGATCTGTCTCACTGATTGGGATACAGTCTCCTGCACAATATATATACTTCAAGTCATACACTACCGCATTTTCACACCATTGTTTTTCACATAGATTCTTGGGGAAAGAAATTGCAGTTTCAATCCCAATTATTATAAGGAATTGCCCATCACTGACACCAATACACTTTTCATCGTTACTGCTGCGAAATCGCTGTTACTACAATTAAAATATCAATAATTATCCAATGTTCATAGCTATCAGCAAAATATGGAAAATTTAGTGTTTTGTTGCCAATCCATAATCTTTGCAATTCAGATAAAATTCATAGGGTTTGTTTATACAGTGAACAACCATAGTTATACTTCTCAGTTTAACATAATGGCTCAATTGCCAGTTAGTCATTGTCTAAAATGACATATGTCTCACTAGCCTCAACATCTTCCCATTGCTCTCTATCCATTTCCCCTCCTCCATCTTCATCTGCCATGTCTTCATCAACCATTCTCTCATTTTCTTCCTGCTCCAGTTCACCCGGTTGTTCTCGTTCTTCTTGCTGTTCCTTAAAAAATTCTGGATCAACCATCAGGTCCATACCATCATGGTCACCTTTTGGCTGTCTATCACCCCCGGAACAGTCCAAACATACGCCGTAACGTCGAGATCCATGCCTAATTCCAACACTGGCTGCTAGAGTGAAGAATTTTTTACAAACCATACATTTGTACTTTTTATCCTTCTTGTGTACCTGAAGGAAAACAAATCAGATAATTAGCAAATGGAATACATTTCTACAAAAAAAAACTGAAAATAAGCTTGCAAATTCCAATACTGGCATTTATTTTCTTATGATGTAGGTGGTTGAAATAATGACTGCCAGTACACTAGAACACTGTTTAGTTATTTTAAAGAAAGTCTCTTTACAAAAAGAAAATTGATGAATTTGCTGGACAGTATGGGAACAGGAAGTTGGAATTCTGATTACAATATGCCCTCAATCAAGTCCAAGGACGTTCAGCTGAGGCTGTAAAATTGTACGCTTCGTCTCCAAAGGTAACAAAAGTGCTCAGTAAGAGTGTGATACTGGTTAGACTACTCTCCCCTGTTGGTGCTCTAGTTACTGCTTACCCACACTTAAAAATGGCTTAGTTTACCTCACTAACTTGAAAAGTAGTGAGCAACTTAAAGAAGATCGGTGACTATCCAGTAAGCAAGGCCAGTTGAAGACATTGAGAACACTCAATGTCACAGGCAGTCTTCGAGTTGCGAGTGGGTCCTGCAGTCCGTTTGCAAGTTGGAACACAATGCAGAATAATGGAAAGCTGCCATTCGTAAGTATAGGAAACATTCATATGTTGGGTCTTTAAAAATTAAAACCAGGTATGGGATCATGTTCATAAATCAAATATTCATAAATCACGGTCCCTATGTACTCAGCTGTTATAACAAAGGGAATGTGTGCTGCATTAAAGTCATCATAAAGCGTAAGAACAAAGAAAACACATTTTAATTTAAATAGCCTCTTAAACTGAGAAAAATATTGTAAAGTGCTTCAGTGATTTAATTAAAATAAATAGACAAAAAGCTTGGTGCAAGAAGTATGTTTTCAGGAAATGGCCTAAACGTGGAGAGGAAGATGAAGAGGCAGCGGGTACTTCAGGAAAGCAAGTCAAAGTGATTGAAGACCTTGGGAACACTGGGCCGGAGCATTTTTTTTTTGGAGGGCAGTAGCAGGGGGAGATAGCTCCACAAAATCTGTAGTGGAGAACATAGAATGTGGGCAGTTCAGGTTCAGGTTTTTGTTTCCTAGGCTGGAGGTTACAGATAGGAAGCAGTATGACCATGGAAAGGATTTAAACATGAAAATAAGAAATGTAAGCTGGGAAAACGTGTTGCTAACACAGGTCAACAAGACCATGACTAACTGGTGAAGGAGATACGGTATAAGTTAGGATAGACAGCTAAGTTTTAGAGGTGTGTACATTTATGGAACATGTTGGCATCCCATCCTCCATGGAGACCATGCTGGAATAGAGACAGACCGGAGGTGAGAAAGACAGAGATGAGGGTTTGCATAGAAGATAGACTGAAAAATTGAAAACACTCTCATTTGTGACAGAAACAATGTGCAGTCAGCTGAAGTTCTGAACAGTGAGTCAGCTTAAAACAAAGGTAGCTTATGGTAACTGCTGGAAAATGTGGCAGTGTAGCTTTTCCAATGCTTAACTGGAAGAATTGTAACTGTAATCTAAAATTGTATGTATAACAAGCTGTTGATAATAAAGAAGCAGAGGAGGAACTGATGGAAATGATGCGAGAAATTGAACCAGGTTTTGTACTCGAGCAAGCTGATCCCATATCTTGGAATTATGTCACCCAAGAGTAGCCCGTAAATATGTCATTTAAAATAAATCTTTAGGAATTAAGGAGCTAATAGTGCCCAACAACAAAGAAGAGTCATTCCTGGAGATATTCCATCTATGGTTAAATATTTAAAGAGTAGCACAAGCAAGAATAGTTCAAAAAAGATGAACAACAGAAGAACTAATTTGATGGAAGTTGGTATTATTGTTTACGTTAAAAGTCAAGGATGAGGAGTTATCACGGACGAAGTCACAGAGGATATCATATTAAATTGAGAGATATGGGTTTGCTTCTGTGACGTGGCAGGAGACCAGTTCATGGAATTAGGTAATGGAAAGAGAATTTGGAAGCAGTATGTTCAAGGATTTCAGTGAAATGGAGTTAGAGAGACAGAGTTGAAGGATAGAAATAGTAGAAAGTAGTTTTTTTGAGAAGGGACTAACGAATGATTTTGTCAGGGTAGAGGTCAAAGCTATTTTCCACCATTAGTTTGGCTATTTATTAAAGAGCAAGGGAGTTTTTGAATTGTCCGTGTCAACGTATTTTAATATTTGGTTGTGGGTCATGCTGTGGTTGAATTTGTTGACACTATATGAATGCAAGCTTGTTATTCTGACATCTGATTACACAGTAGTAGCTGAATGCAGTTCTGGTCACTGGATTATAGGAAGGATGTGATTGCAGAGAGGCACAAAGGTGATTTACCAGGATGCTGCCTAGGCTGAGATTGTTTTCCTTGGAAGAGCGAAGGATGAGAGGAGACCTAACAGAGGTAAATAAGAGACATAGATAGGGCGGATTACGAAGGCACTTGTACCATTATTAGAAGGGTCAATAACTAGGGTTATGAATGGAAGCGAAAAGGTAGGAGGCCAAGAGGAGTTGAGGGGAATTTCTTTTCACTCAGAGAGAGACAGAGTTTGGAACTCTCATAATATTTAAGAATTATTTGGATATTCATGTGTTGTCATAGTCTCCAGGGCTATGGACCAAAGGCTGGTAGTGAAATCTTTGTAGACCGGCACAGACATGATGGACCAAAAGGCCTCCTTCTCCACTGAAAATGTCTGTGTCTTTGCACAAGTAAATTCTTATTGTAGCTAAGCATCACAGAATAAGATTGTTCGAAGTCAAGTGTCTAGCTTACAATGAGTCAGCAAATCCCAATAGATGGTGGAAATACAACTGCACTGATATTTCTTTGCTGAGAAAGAAAAATACTCCTGATCATTCTCCAACAACTCCATATTAGAAATTACATAATCCTTGGTATCTTACAAATGCACTTTCAAGGCTCACTGACTGGCTTTCTTTGATCCTGTTCATGTCAATATTACTGAAATGGATGATTTGCTCAACCAGGTCCTCATTTCTATCTTTCAATCCCTTTCCCACAGCAAAATGTTCATATTTTATCCTATCAAAGCACCAATTTTCCTTTCCTCAAGTCCAAGTGGTGTAGACTTGAAAGAACTGGTGTTCAACTGCTGTCATGATCTGGAAAAACCCTCCTCTCCTCCATTTTCCCGGAAATAAAGTAATTCTCAACTCCAATCAAGTCTTCTTCAACCCCCTTCCTTCCATCAAGTCAAACAAGTGCTACAAGCTCATGTACTACCACAAACAATTGAATTGTCTCTTGTTTTCACAATATGTAGCTCTTTCCCTGAACCACAACATCTGAGAGAGGACATGGTGGTTCGAATAAAGTGAAATTTTGCATCTTCCTTAGTCTTCCTGTGGCGGCTGTGATCAACTGCACTGATAAAACAAGGGCCAAGAACCTGTACATCATCTCTGTCAAAGGCATCAAAATGACATTTGAACAAACTACCAGCTGCTGGTGTTGGTGACGTGGTCATGGCAACTGTAAAAGAAAGACAAACCAGAGCCCAGAAAAAAGGTACATCCAGCAGGAGTGATATAGCAATGGAAAGCATCGACGGGGTGTTTCTCTGTTTTAAGGACAATGCAGGGGTGAAAGCAAATAACAAAGGAGAAATGGAAACGCTGCAATCACAGACCCTGTTGCAAAGAACATACAGATCTGTGGCCGAGGATTGCTTCCAATGCTGCGGGCAACGCATAAGAACTGTAGCAACAAGATGGTGTGCCATTGCAAAGTGCAATTAAAATCACTCCTAAATAAATGGGCCAATTTGACTACGATTCTGTTTTGAAGGAAACAGCACACATTTATCCAAGCAAAAACAAAACCTCCACGAAGGCGGAAACACATGTATTCCAAACAAGGTTTTATCAAATTAGAAGCACAAGACTCAAATGCTCACCCACAGAAGTACAGTTCTTGAAAATTGCAATTATACTTACCAATGAATGTCGCTTTACATGTTCTCTTCGCGTGAACAACTTTCCACAAATGTCACAAGCAAAGGACCGCACTCCAGTATGTATTAGCTGATGCCTTTTCAAAGTGCGTCGATACTTGGCAATGTAATTGCAATGTGGGCACTTGAATTTGTTTTGACTACCAATTGAAGCATCACCTAGCATATAGAATTCATATACAGTTTATTTACTATATCTACTAAAGCTTTGAACACTTTTTAATTACTGATATTGTAAAATATAGGCAACAATGAAAACTGTTTCTTGACAAGATGCCCATTAACAAAAAAATTAAGCAAATGTTCATGGAAATACACAAAATACATTTCTTTGAATTCAGACATCTTTATAGGTCTGAACATAACTTGGCTCATAGCACAGAAGTACATAGATATATAATTCAGTCAACTGCAGCAGATTCCAGTTATTCTTTGTGTGTACAGAGTGTGGCATGCCTTGTCTTCAATATATTGAATGCACACTATTCCTCTTATATAATGTAGGCTTCACAAGTAATGTAAACTATTCTTGCCATAGAATGGACTGATGAGAAAACAAAAAACTGCTGTTTTGTGATGCGAGGAAACAGAACACAGGTAACTGAAATTAAATGAACGTAACGCATTTCATTGAATATATGAATTAATTCTATAAGCATACCTTTAATCATAATCAAAATATTTTAAAAACTGTCAAACTGATTGACTTTTTTTACATCTGTGGTGAAAGACACTTAAATTACTGAGTCGCTTGCTGAGTCACTTGATTTGTTGCTTTCAGTATCAGAATCAACCCTCTAAGTCATCTTCGACTTGATCCACTGAATTGATGACAGTTTGTGCAAAACATCCCATAATTCGATGATGCAATCACAAAATATCAAGTTGGACACAATGAATATTTCCACTCTGAAGGGTTTCTTCACGATCAACCATCCATCTAATCCATTTGGTGCAAAAATGATTTTCAACTGGTTTCATGAACAAAAGGTTGAACTACGGATATCTGACCTCAATATAACTGTGAATAAGGGTGTTAAGTCTTCGCAAGCATCAGATGATCACATGTTATATGGGATCGGATATCTTCCATGCTATTGCCATAGTCTGTACGTAGGGACCAGAATGACTATTCCACGTGTTACTGATGCATAACACCTCCATCTAACCAGTGATAACAAGGTGTAGAGCTGGATGAACACAGCAGGCCAAGCAGCATCAGACGAGCAGGAAGGCTGACGTTTCGGGTCGAGACCCTTCTTCAGAAAGGGGGGGGGGGGGGGGGGTTCTGAAGTAAATAGGGAGAGAGGGGGAGGCGGACAGAAGATGGATAAAAGGAGAAGATAGGTGGAGAGGAGACAGACAGGTCAAAGAGGCGGGGTTGGAGCCAGTAAAGGTGAATGTAGGTGGGGAGTTAGGGAGGGGATAGGTCGGTCCAGGTAGGACGGACAAGTCAAGGAGGTGGGGCTTGAGGTAGGAGGAATGGTTAGGGAGGCGGGGACGAGGACGAGCTGGGCTGGTTTTGGGATGCGGTCAGGGGAGGGGAGATTTTGAAGCTTGTGAAGTCCACATTGGTACCCTTGGGCTGCAGGGTTCCCAAGCGAAATATGAGATGCTGTTCCTGCAACTTTCGGGTAACCTCTTCGGCCCAGAAAAAAAAAGTGACGCCACCTGAAAGCTGCAGGAAGAGCATCTCATATTTTGCTTGGGAACCCTGCAGCCCAAGGGTATCAATGTGGACTTCACAAGCTTCAAAATCTCCCCTCCCCAACCACATCCCAAAACCAGTCCAGCTCGGCCCCGCCTCCCTAACCATTCCTCCCACCTCAAGCCCCACCCCCATCTCCTACCCACTAACCTCATCCTGCCTCCTTGACCTGTCCATCCTCCCTGGACCGACCTATCCCCTCCCTAACTCCCCACCTACATTCACCTTTACTGGCTCCAACCCTGCCTCTTTGACCTGTCTGTCTCCTCTCCACCTATCTTCTCCATTATCCGTCTTTTATCCACCTCCCCCTATCTCCCTATTTATTTCAGAATCCCCTTCCCCTCCCCCATTTCTGAAGAAGGGTCTCGACCCAAAACATCAGCTTTCCTGCTCCTCTGATGCTGCTTGGCCTACTGTGTTCATCCAGCTCTACACCTTGTTAGATTCTCAGATTCTCCAGCATCGGCAGTTCCTACTATCGCCATCTAACCAGTCATTTTTGTACTGATCTAGAACCAGAGCCTCCAGTCCTACCAATAAAACTTCCTGCAGTGAACTTGACTTTTGGCATGGTTTTACAATTGAGAATCACCATCAGTTTAAGTTTTGCTTTGTGTGTTGTGCAGGCTAGTACTACTGTGAATTTTATCTTGTCACATCCTGTGGCTTGGACTGGAACCATTTTCAATCTTTCGACTCCTCAGTGCAGCTGTTGGGCATATCGAAATTCACTGGTGTTTTCAATGTTGCTGATGTGATAGAAGAGTGAGATGTAGATGTGTCTTAGACTCCTTTGTATCCTCTTGGCAACAGTGTCTACGTTCCCTACTTGAAGCTTGCTTTTTGTAGAAATACCATGCTCACAGCCAAATCTTTCTTAATTAATATTGAAGGATTAGCGCGTTAACCCAGATCAATACATCTCTACATAAGGAATCAAGATTTGGTAATCTTGTATCAACTTTCAGCAATGAGTTCACACCAGCTTTGCATTGCCAAAATGCACTGTAACACATCTTGCTGTAGTTAAAGTTAATTTCTGATGATCAGTACAATTTAAAAGAATGATCACAGCTTATGAAGCAGACAGAAAATGCATTATAATTACAAGAACAATTGTAACCAATTCACTTGTAGGAAATAGAAATGCTCAGGTGAGTTCTATCTGCAAGAAAGACACGTTTTCTAGGTTCTTTTACTTTTTACTTTTATTCACAGGTTGAACTTCAAATGTTGAAAGATGTAAACTAAACATTTAAAAGGAGACACTATTGCTATGTAACCGTCTATATGCAAATTTGCAATACTCAAAACACAATTACAGGATTTTGATATCAATATAAAAATGGTTCTTGTTGAAATTCTGACAAAGATCCATCATGCTAATATACTAACTCTACAAATAGGGCTAATAATTGTAATCATATTTTCCTGCCATTTGCACATCATTTATAGTACTCTTCCTTTTTAACTACTTGGATATTATCATTACTTTTGGTCGAATCCTCTGAAAACTGATTCCAATTTACTCCACCAGGTTAATCTTGAGACTCATACTCTGTCAAAATCATTTTACATTTTTGAAAACCTCAATTAGTTTATCCTTGTGAAGAATCTCAGTTTTTCCAACCTTTCTCACAAACAACAACCTCCATTACTGACATTAGTCTAGTGAGGCTTTGGTAAAGCATTTAATATGCTTCCTAAAATTTGGTGTTGAAAACTGCACGCAACAGTGGCCTAGTCAATATTTCTTGCAAGTTCACCTTTACATTCAATTTACCTTACTAAATTCAGAAGCCCATTTGTATGGTTATGCCCATTTCTACTGCACAGCACCTTTAGGCATTCATGCATTTCCAGCTATAGAATTCTTTCTTCCTCTATTTGCCAGAAGAATTATAATAACAACAGCTGCGTTTCACGTCGTAGCATGCTCACCAAAGTCAGAAAGTGGTGGGCTGAAGTCCAGTTCCTGGACTTAAAAGATGACACTGCAGTACTGAAGGAGTGCAACATTTCTGGATGACATATTAGACACAGACTAAGTCTGTGTTCTTAGGTAGATGTAAAAGATCCCATGAAACTATTTCCAATAATAGCATGAGTTATTCCTGAAGTCCTGGCCAACATATGTTAAACAATCAAAAATACAAAAACAGGCTATCTGGCTTTTATCACATTTCTGGATTTGGTAGCTTACTGTGTAAGTAGGCCTGCTGTGTTTGCTATATTAGAATACAGGTCACTTGATATAAATGCTTTACAAATGCAATGTTTTTGTATTTAATAAGTATCCTTAACACTGTCATCCAAAGATGTTTTGCAGCAATATTTTAAAATATAATCTGACACCTAACCACATACTAGACAGGGCAAATGCAGGAAGAATGTTCCCAATAGGAGGGGAGTCCAGACCAGCAATTGCAAACTAAGAATTCGAGCTAAACCATTTAGGAAAGAGATGTGGAAAAACTTCTTCATGCAAAGCGGTGAACTTGCAGAATTTGCTACTACTGAAAGCAGTCAAGGCCAAACATTGTATGATTTCAAGAACAAGTTAGACATAGCACTTGTGGCTAAAGAAATCAAAGGATTTGGAGGAAAAGCAGATTTTGGACTTAAGGATCAGCCATGATCATTCTGAATGGCAGTGCAAGCTGAAAGGGCCTAATCGCCTACTCCTCCTCTTATTTTCGATGTTTCTATCAAGGCATATAAAGCTTGGCCAAGAAGTGAGCAGTTTGAGAAAGATTCTAAATGAGGCAAGAGGAATAGAGTTTAGATGTATGACGGGAAGGACTACAATGGCAGAATTATTAAAATCAGGTACAAGCAAGTGGCCAGAATTACAGTTGGCTGACATGTGAAAGAATTGCAGAAACAGCAAGGATTGGACGGTATTAGTGAGAAATTTTAAATAGAGGTATTATTTAATCAGGAATCAATGAAAGTCTGAGCACAAGTTCACATGATGTGGAAAACATGGTAATCAAGTTGAGAAGTAACAAAGGAAGAGATAAGTGTTGAAGTAAGTGAAAAGGGCTAGAGTATAATCAAGTAGAAATTGGCCACTGTAGAGATGGCATGGGTCCGTGGGTGCAATTTTGTCTGGGTTCAAACAGAAAGCCGAGATTAGAGCCTATTTCAGCCTCCAATAGTTTCCAAAGTGTGAAATGGAGACCCAGGCAGCTAGCAAGTAAAAGCAAAAGCTTATGCCCTCCAAATACCTAGTTGTAATGAATTTTTGGGTTTTAGACAACCCGTCTGACAATGTACAGACAGTAGGAGTCAAGGGAGATAGACACTAGTTTTACCTGCATGTCATTTACCTAGATGTTACTGACATAACAGTTCACAGAGGATGCCATATCCCTAATCCCTGCACTCATCCCTGGAACATGTGGACAACAAAGACACCTATGTCAGATTCCTGCTTGTTGACTACAGCTCCGCCTTCAACACCATTATCCCCTCCAGACTGATCTCAAAACTCCATGATCTTGGTCTCGGCTCTGCCCTCTGCAACTGGATCCTCAGCTTTCTGACCCATAGGCAACAATCAGTGAGGATAGGTAACTGCAGCTCCTCCACAATAACACTCAACACTGAAGCCCCCCAAAGGATGCGTCCTCAGGCCCTACTGTACTTCCTGTACATCTACGACTGTATTGTCAAATTCCAAACAAACGCCATCTAAAAGTTCACTGATGACACCACCGTAGTGGGACGGATATCTAACAATGATGTGTCAAAATACAGAAGGGAGATAGAGGGCTTAGTGACGTGGTGCAATGAAAACAAGCTGTCTCTCAATGTCAGCAGAACTAAAGAACTGATCATCGACTTCAGAAAGAAAGGAGGAGGACACGCCTCCATCCACATTAACGGAATGGGAGGTTCAGAGAGTGAAGAGCATCAAGTTCTTCAGAGTTACGATAAATGACAACCTGTCCTGGACTTCCCATGTAAATGCGACAGTCAGGAAGGCACAAAGCCTCTTCTTCCTCAGGCAGCTCAGGAAATTTGGCATGTTCATAAGGTCCCTTACCAACTTCTACAGGTGCACCACTGAAAGCATACTCTGTGGTTGCATAACGGCCTGGTACGGCAACTGCTCTGCCCAGGACCATAAGAAACTACAGAAAGTGGTGTGCACAGCCCAGACCATCAAGGAGACCAATCTTCCATCCATGGACTCTATCTACATGGCTCGCCGCTGCGGAAAGGCTGCCAACATCATTGAAGGCCCATCGCATCCCGGTAATGATCTCCTACAACATCTTCCGTCAGGCAGAGATACAGAAGCCTGAACACACGTACAAGCAGGTTCAGGATCAGCTTCTTTCCGGCTGTTATCAGACTGTTGAATGGCAATGTTGAAGTACTGGAGGTGGATGATGTGGTCAACTCTGTCAAAGGCTGAAGATGGGTCACACATTTCTTTTACAGAGATATCCTTTAATCTGTTTTATCAACTAATAACCTTCCCACTCTTGCTCATTTGTTTTCCTGCAATAGCTGCATTCTCCCTCATATTTCACCATAGCTACTAATTTGGTAATTTCATAGTTCCTCTCGGAAAATGTCAAAATCATTTTTATACCTGGGAATCAACAGAACTCCAGAGCAAGAGGTTTCTAGGGAACACATCTCACCAATTTGAAAAACATTCACATGCTGCATCACTTTTATCCTTCTGAACCCTTCTCCATTTCTTTTCGTATCATGGACAGGTTGTCTTATGAGGAAATGTTGGACAGGTTAGGCTTATATCCTCTGGCACTCAGAAGAGAAAGAGATGACTTGATTGAAACAAAATCTTGAATGGTCTTGACAGGGTGATTGTGGAGAGGATGCTTCCTCTTACTGGAGCATCAAGAATATGGGGTCACTATTTAATAATCAGAGTTGCCTATTTAAAACAGAGGTCAGGTGAAATCTCTTCTCCAAGGATTAAGTGTCTTTGGAACTTTGACTGAAATAGTTGGAAGCAGTGTCTTTGAATATTTTTAAGGCCAAGGTAGATTGATTCTTATTAAGCAAGGAGTGTGAAAGCTTCTCAGAGATAGCAGGCATGTGGATTTGAAGTTACAATCAGTTCAGCCATGATCCTATTGAATGACAGAGCAGGCTTGAGGGGCTGAATGCACTACCCCTACTCCTTGTTCATATATTCATATCATGTATTTCCTTAAAAGGCTATCACTTTGACATCTCATTAAGTAATGGTGTCCACTGTATATCAAATTTAGGTTTCCTTAAGTCAGACGTACCATTTCAATTAGATAGATGGAACCAAAAAAACAGGAACAGGCCACCAGTACTTATAAATAAAGTAATGAGGAATCAAAACACGAAAGAGAAAAAAAGGGAAAGAAAGGTTCTAAATTGAAGGAAACTATAAAAGATGTAAAATCTTGCTCCAATATTCTTAGAAAACTATTCCTTGGATTCTTTTAATATTCTTTCATGGATGAGTGTGTCACTGGCAAGGCCCATACTTGTTGCTCATCCATAACTACCTTTGAGAAGGGGTTAGTGAGCTACCTTCTTTAATCACTGGTGCAAGTACATTCACACTGCTTAAAAAAAGTAGTTCAAGATTCTTGTTTAAGAGTTCCTTTACTAATGCTTCTAAATTTTCTCCAGGAAAATAAGTTGAATACTTGCAAAATGGTACAGCAGAAGTAACAGTGGAGGTAGATAAGAATGTAAGAAATTGAGCACAAGTAAGCCATTCAAGTAGCATTCATTCTGTCGTTCAGTGAGATCATGGCTGGAATTCTAAATCTCAAAATAATTGTCTTGCACAATCCCACACTCTTTGATGTTTTTAACCTGTAGAAATCCGTTTGCTGCCTTAAATAGATATTCAGCAGTACTGAGCAGACTGGAATTTAGTTCATCTTGAAGAACAGTCCTCAAGATGCTTTGGGAATATTTGGATCAGGATCCTGGAGTTTTGAAGCATCAAGTATTTTTTTTGCTAATTATCACAGTAGCTAGCAAATCTGAGGCTGAATCGGAGATAACCAGTATATTTTTATACTGGTTAACTAGTATCTGAATGCTGCCTAAGACCATTGAGTGGGAGAGGGTATCCCATGCTTGAGAGTTCAAGGGTATGTGTAAAGACACATGAAAAATCAGAGAGTTAGCATTATTTACCATCACCAAACCAAGTTATGATCGGAAAGCACAAAAAAACTTTACTTAATGATTCAATATTTCTAGCATAAATTAGGGTGAGGAAAAGACACAAACTAATAGATTTTCCGAAGTTTTTAGGACTGTAAACTATCAGGTTTGGAATTAGCACTGTCTGCTATTTGTCTCATATATATGCGCACAGAGACACAAAACTTGTGTAATAAAAACAAATTTATCAGAATGCTGTTTTGGAAATTCATCTGGTAGAAAGTTTGAACAACTGATCAGAAATTGCTATATGCTTTAGAAAGATATTCCAGTTTAGCTGTTCAAATTACATCGATGGACTTTGGAAAATAGTTATGCTGTAAACCAATAAAACTACGTTATTTGGCTTCAATTCAGTCCCCACTTTAAACAAAAGTCAGAGCAATTTTTAATAAAAAAATTCCAAAACGCATTAAAGGTACCAATGAATTCAATGGGCGAATGTGTTATTTGTGTTATTTACTTTGATCGCTTTTAAAATAGAAGTTCCAGTTTCCAAAATGTTTTGCATTAAATTACCATTAAATATGATAACAGAGCACCTAGCAATAAAAATACTGAAGAATAAGAAAATTACCATTTGGGACTAGAAACTATACTAAGTTCACATAATTTTAATAAAAGTTTTTGGCAAATAATATGTCTTTTGCTTTGGGTTGAACACTAATTTCTAAAATTTACTTAGAAAACGCTTACCATTTAACCAAGTTTCTCTATTTTGCGCTTCTTGTAACAGTCCAAATCTGAATTGATCCGAAGTTCCAGCTGAAAAGAGAATATTTATAGTGATAACATTATTTTAGGCCACGATTTACCCTTGCACAACAATATTAATAAACTCATGAACCATTATTCCACAGGAACTCATTAAAATCTTCTTGAAGTGATTATTATTCACAAGACTTCAATAAAAATGGACATGTATACAATTCACAACAGAAAATATAACCGAGATCAAACCAACGGCTTTTTACTCTTAAGGGATGAGCATGCTGCTGGCTAACTCATTGTTTATTGCCCAACCGTCTTTCACCTGCAGAAGGTCATGATGAGCTGCCTTCTTGAAGTGCTGCAATCCTTGGTGTAGGGAGACTCAAAAGCATTGCGTTGTAGGATTTTGATCCAGTGTAAAACCAGGTGCATATTTTTAGAGGGATCACCAAATAGAAATCAGAAGCAACAATCTTTAATTATTCCCTACTTCAACCTGACAATGTAGAAGAATGTTAGTTGCCCGTTCACAGCTTCAGTATCAGGTCAGCACATCGGCTGTGGTTAGCACTGCTGCCTCACAGCGCCACGGACCCAAGCCCAATTCCACCCTTGGGCGAGTGTCTGTGTGGAACTTGTACTTTCTCCCCGTGTCTGTGTGGGTTTCCTCCAGGTGCTCTACTTTCCTCCAATAGTCCAAAGATGTGCGGGTTAGGTAGACTGGCCATGCTAAATTGCCCATATCGCCCAGGGATGTAGAGGTTAGATGGATTAGCCATGGGATATGCAAGGTTATAGGGATTGGATAGGGGGAAGAGTCTGGAGATGCTTTTGGAGGGTCAGTGTGGATTTGATGGGCCCAATGGCCTGTTTCCACACTGTAGGGATTCTATGACGTGCACTAACCAGGCACCGAACTTGGGCTCTTTGGTTTGAATGAAAATGAAAAATCTGGAATAACCATGCCAATGAATGATGACCATGAACTCATTATCAACTGTCTTAGAAACCTATCCGGGGTTACTGATGCCCTTTAGGGAATGAAATCTGCTGTCCTTATGTGATCTGGACTAAATGTGACTTCATACACACAACAATGCAGTAGAATCTGCCTTTTGAAATGGATTAGCAAGCTACTCGGTTGTATGAAACTACTGAAAAAAACTAATGGATCCCCTGATATTGGCCAGAATGTAGTTAGAAGGAAATTGTCTAATGAGTCCTCAAAAACTGTCTCCAAACCAAGAAGTGTCATGGCATCAGGTCAAGGAAACCTCTTGCCAACCACAGCTAGCAGGTAACATAAAAATGGACAATATATTTATTAAATATATAAAAGAAAGACAAGGCCAAAATTAACATATGAGCTTCTTTAGAGAATGAGGCTGTCAAATAAACATAGGGAAGCTTGAAATGGCAGTGGAGTTGGAGAAATATGCATCATTCTTCATTGTAGAGGATATTAATAGCCTCCCAAAAATAACAAACAGTCAAGGAGAAAAACAGGGGAGCAAAAACCTTAATAACATCTGTCACTAGATAGAAACTATTAGGGGAACTAATGGAACTAAAATTGATAGGAGCCCTGGATCTGATAGGTAGCATCCTACGATATTAAAGAAAGTAGTTACACAGATAGTGGATGCACTGGTAGTAAAGTTCCAATAAGCCTTAGATTTTGGAAAAATCATAGTGGATTGGAAAACTATCAATGCAGCACCATTCGGTAAAAAGGGAGGGAAGGCAAAAAACAAATAACTATCGGCTAGTTAGCGTAACATTGGCCATTGAGAAAACATTAGGATCTATGAGATTATTAGCAAAGATAAGACCCCATAGGATCCAAGGAAATTTGGCAAATTGGATCCACAACTGGCCGAGTGGCAGGAAGGAGAGGGTGATGGTTGGTGGTTGTTTCTCTGGGCGCAAATTTCCAATCAGATTTTCAGATTTGGAAATTTGGGGTCCCACAGTGATCAGTGCTGGGGCTCCTATTGTTTGTGGTTTATGCAAATGATTAAGAATTGAATGTAGGAGGATTGAGTAGTAAGTTTGCTGACGACACAAAAACTGGCAGGATTGTAAAGAGCGAGGAGGATAGCCTGAGACTACAGACGGATTTAGACAGGCTAGTCAGATGGGCTGATCAGTGGCAAATAGAATTCAATCCAGATAAATATGAGGTGATGCACCTGGGGTAGTACAAACTAAACAAGGGAATACATGATGCATGGTAGGACCCTGGGAAGCACCAAGGATCAAAGGGATCTTGGTCTGCATGTACACTGGTCCCTTAAGGTATTAGGGCAGGGAGATAAAATGGTTAAGGCGGCATGTGGCACACTTGCTTTTATTAGCTGAGGCATAGAGTTTAAGAGCAGGGAAGTTGCGCTGCAACTGTGTAAAACATTGGTTAGGCCACAGCTAGAATACTGTGTGCAGTTCTGGAATCCACATTATAGGAGAGTTGTGACAGCACCGACGCTCAGTAGCAGCAGCGTGTACTATATACAAGATACACAGCAGAAATTCACCAAAGATCCTCAGACGGCACCTTCCAAACCCACGACCACTTCCATCTCGAAGGACAAGGGCATCAGACAAATGGGAACACCACCACTTCCAAGTTCCCGTCCAAGCCACTCACCATCCTGACTTGGAAAGATATCACTGTTCCTTCACTGTCGCTGGGTCAAAATCCTGAAATTCCCTCGCTAATGGCATTGTGGATCAACCCACAGCAGGAGGACTGCAATGGTCCAAGAAGGGAGCTCACCACCATCTTCTCAAGGGCAACTATGGATGGGCAAGAAATGCTGGCCAACCAGCGATGCCCACATCCCATAAATGAATAGAGAAACAAAAAGCACAGGAGGGAATGCAAAGGAGATTTACCAGCATGTTGCCTGGGCTGGAGAGTTTCAGTAATGAAGAGAGGTTGGACAAACTGGGGCTGTTTTCCTCAGAGCAGAGGAGATTGAGAGGGGTGATTATTGAGACGTATGTATACAAGATGATATTATTTCCCTCGATGGGGGAATCAATGACCAAGGGTCATAGAGTTACATTAAGGGCAGATGAAAAGAAAAACTTTTTCATCCACAGGGTTGTGGGAATCTGGAGCTAATGGCCTGTAAGGGTGGCAGAGGCAGAAACTGTCATAACATTTAAGTATTTTGACGTGCATTTGCGATCCCAAGGCATACAAGACTATGGGCCAAGTTCTGGAAAATGGGATTAGAATAGTTAGGTGGCTGCTTTCGAACGGCACGAACATGACAGGCAGAAGGACCATTTTCTGGACTACAGACTGCTATGACTGAAAAAGAATGCATTTAGGACTAGATACAATTAAACAGTCACGAAGGGGAAATCATGCCTGATAAGTTTATTAGCATTCTTTGATGTAGAAAGCATAGATAAAGGGGACCAATAGATGTAATGTATTTGGATTTCCAAAAGCCATTTGACAAGGTAACACACAAGGCTGCTTGGTAAGGTAAAAAGCCCATGGTGTTGGGGGTAGTACATTAGCATGGATAAACAAACAGCTAACCAGAGAGCTAAGATAACAGGCAGTTTCAGATGACAACCCTGTAACTAATGGAGAGCCACAGGGATCAGTGCTGGGATCAAAACTATTTACATTATATTAATTACTTGGATGAGGAAAGTGAATGTGCTATTGCTAATTTTGCAGATGACAAAGATAGAAGGGAGGGCAAGTGATACAGGTGACACAAAAAATCTGCAGAGGATGTGGACAGGTTAAGTGAGTTGGCAAAAACTTGGCAATTAAATGTAAGGTGGAAAATGTGAAGTCGCGCACTTTGACAGGAAGAGCTAATTATTATTTAAATAGAAAATGCTAAACTTTCTGCAGCATGAGGGGGATTTGGGGGTCCACATGTACGAATCACAAAAGGGTAGCGCACAAGAAAAGGCTAATGGAATAGTGACCTTTATTTCAAAGGGAATAGAGTATTAAACAACCTTATTGAAAAGATTGTTGGGGTTGGGGGTGGGGGGAGGGGAGCTTAACAGGGTAGATTCTGAAAGGTTGGTTTCCTTGTGGGAGAGTTTAGGATTACAGGGTATAATCATAGAGTAAGTGATCACCCTATTTAAGATACAGATCAGGAAGAATTTATTCTCTCGGACAGCAGTGAATTGATGGAATTCATACTGCACAGGACTATCAAGTTTAAGGCTGAGAGAAGCAGATTGTTAATCAGCAAGAGAATCAAGGCAGCAGAGTGTTGAGGATTCAGTGAGATGAAGTCTGATTTGATATTTGTGAAGCAGACTCCATATGGGAAAAATCACCTGGTGCAATCTCCCCTCTCAGAAACTCACCATCCTAACTTGGAAATATATTGCTGTTCTTTCAAAATCGCTGGGTCAAAGTACTATACCTCTCTCCCTAACAGCATAGTGGGTTAACCTACACTAAATGGACTGTCGCAGTTTAAGAAAGCAGCTCCCCATCACGTTCTGAAGGGCAAGCAGAAATAGATGTTACAGTAAATAGACATTCTAGGGTAGATGCCAGTGTTGCAGCTGTATTGAAATAGCTTTGCTAGGGATGCAGAAGTTCTGGGGCACACCTTTGGTACCACTGCCAAATGTCAGGGCCTTCAGCCTTTGCAGTATTCAGAACTGCCAACTGTTTCTTAATATCATGTGCAGTCAATCAAATTAGCTGAAGACTCGTACCTGATGGGGATTGGAAGATGCGGCTACAATGGAATGCCTCCTTTACACCTCTGGTTAAAGATTGTTGCAAATGCTTCAACCTGATCTTTTACATTGATATGCCGTGTTCCCCTATCAATAATGGGAAATGTCTGTGGAGGCTTCTCTCATGATTTGTTTAATTGTCCATCAGCATTCAGAACTGGATTTGGCAGGACTACATAATTTCAATCCATTTGGTTCCTTTTGTTTTGAGACATTTTAGGGAATGATAAAATTGAAAAGGGTGCTAGGTCATTTCAGAGGGCAGTTAAGAGTTAACCACACTGCTGTGTTCTGGAGTGACATGTACATTAATT